TGATGAGTAGTGTGTAGGCCCATGTCTGGAATCCAATCCCATGAACCATGGGCTGCTGAAATGGAGTGTGTGGACTTAACCACTATACCACTGGGCTGGCCCCCAAGGCAATGTTCTTTTTAGTTTGCTTCTTGGTCATCGAGACAGTTTTTCTAAGTAAAAGTTGCAGGGGACTCAAAGAATCATCTCTTTCAATAAGCAGCTTCTTAGTGTTCTCAATTCCTTAGTAGCTGTGTGGCTTAGAGCAAGTCACTTAACTGACTCTCAGTGTCCTCCTCTATATAAGGAGGATTCTATTCTAAACTTGGAAGGTAGTTGCAAGGATTAGATAATTATAATAACACTATTATTTATTGAAAACTTAACATGAACAGGTACTGTATAAGAGTTTTACAAGTAATATCTCACTAAGTCCTTCCAACTACCCTATAATGCAGATATTACTACTCTATCTTTAGAGGTAAGAAAACTGAAGATCAGGATAATCAGGAGTGTGGCCTAAGTCCCATGGCAACTCCGTGGTGAATGTAGGGTTTATCTTTCTAGCATATAATGTAAGTAAAGTGACCAGCAAATTGCCTTGTGCATAGTAAATATTAATAATTTTTAACCATTTTTATTATTGTTATTACCACAACTATTAAATTTTATGTAAGATGTAAAAATTTTAAAATATTATTTCCAAGATGACTTAAATTAGGTATAAAAATCTACTATGACCTAGTTGTTCAGATATCTTAACTTTCCCCCAAAGTATATTTGAGCAAAGAATGCAAGGCCAAAGAGGATTTGTAAATAAAAATTTATGGTCAATTAAATGTGAAAAATGCTATATATTTTATTCTTATCCTGGAGAGTCAGAAGAAATATTAGCATATTAAAGCTTCTGAGATGTTTTGCAGTAAAGAAAACCATTAATCCAGTTTAACCCAAAGTTTTCAAATATATTTGCAAAGGAATTCTTTCTTCATGTAATATTTATGACCATTCTTTGAAATCAGTATTCTGCGGAAAATATTTGGGAAAAATGAATCCATTGAAATTCCTCTTCCAAGTTGAGGATGCAATGTTTTGACAAGTCTTCTTCTGCCAACTCGACTCCCTGCTACAGATGTGCTGTGAAATGTCAGGGCTGACAATAAAGTCTTTCTGACACTTGACTGTTAAACCTAAGTTTTTCTTAGGCTTTTCTTACAACAGTACAACATTCTTTCTACTCTGCATATCACAGTCCCAGGTAAAATCCCAACCCTTTTCTGAAATTCCTGCTCACAGTGTTTCTTAGATCTCCTTACAGACCTTATCTTCTGTACCTTTCAATGAGTTCTAAAGTCTCGGTGTCTCTAAACCTTATTGCTATTTAATTTGGCACGTGCTTATGACTCCACAATTAAATTGTAAGTTCCTTAGTGTCTGGAATCATGCATTGCACTTCCACGTATCCCTAAAAGAGCACGAACACAGCAGATTGCTCATTCATTCATTCATTCATTCGTTCAACAAATACTCACTGAGCATCGCCCATGTGCCAGGCACTGTTCTAAGTGCTGGAGTACAGCAGCACCCCAGCAAGATCATCAGTACTCTAGTGGAACTTCTCTTGTACTGAGGGAGATAGATAAACAAGTCTTCAAGTAAGTACAGAATATAACGTCAGATAAGAATAAGTGGTATGAAGCAATAAGGGCATGTGAAAGAGTGAATGAGGAGAAGTTACGTCAGTTTGGAAAGGCTTCTTTAGAAAGAGAATATTTAAGCTAAAACCTGAATAATAGGAAAGAGCTAGCCACGCATTGAGAAGGTTAGAAAGAAGAGTGTTCTAGATCAGCGGAAAGAACCAGGGCAAAGGCTGGAGGATGGCTGAATTTGCTAAGTTAGAGGACTAGCAGGAAGGCCAGTGTGGCTGGAGCACGCACAATAAATCAAGGGATCAGTACGGTCCCTTAGAGTGGTGGGTATACTCCAGACTGTGGCAAGGAACTTGGATTTTATTTTAGGTGATATGGAAGCCATGGAGCATTGTAGACATGGGAATGACCTAAGCATGTTTTCATTAAGTTAAAAGACCACTCTGACAACAGAGTAAAGAATGAAATGTAAGGGATCAAGGGAGGAATCAAGGAGGCCAATTATAGGCTGTTTTAGTAATCAAGGCAAGACATGATGGTGATTTAGAAAAGGGTGGTAGCCGGAGAGCAAGGGAAGTAGACAGATTCTGGATGAACTTTGGCAAAAGAGACAATGGGACTTGCTGGTTTGAGCAAACCTGCGGATAGTGATATTTCTTAGATGAGGGTGTCTGGGAGAGGAATGACTGTGTGGAAGGGTGGAGAAGATTATCGAAAATCCTTTTTGACCATGTTAAGGTTAAGTCTGTAAGATATCCAGGAATATGTGTCAATTTTACCAGATTCTGGAGCTCATAGGAAAGGGCAGGGCTAGATATATACATTCGGGAGTCACTGTACAGAAATAACATTTAAAACCATGGGACCACATGAGATCATCTAGGAGAGAATGTAACTCCAAGGCACCTCTAAATCTGGAAGTGGTACAGGAAAAGAAGAGTAAAAAAAAAAAAAAAGAGAGAGAGAGAGAGAGAGACTGAGAAAAGGAAGCCAAAACGGTAGAATGTGGACAATGGGGTGTTGAGATGTCCAAGCGACTAAAGAGCAGCTGGAATGAGGGAGTAGTTAGAGGAGTCAGATGCCAAAGACAAACTCTTCACAAAGTTTTGCCGTGAAGAGGAGCAGAGAAGCGGGGCAGTAGTTAGAAGGGACACAGAGTCAGGAAAGGACTTCCCTGGATCCCAAGATGGGAGACACTAGAGTTTATCTGGATAGAGCCGGGAGGAAAAATTAATGATGTAGACAAGAGAGGGACTAATTGAACATATAATTCTTTGTTCAATTATTGTAGATTTTTAAATGTATTTGATTCATATTAGACTGAATAGGAGGCTGTTTGCCAACATATGAGTTGTAATTGTGACCATCTCTGGGAAATAAAACTGGGTGTAATAGTAATAACAATATTCTCTTAACTTGTATTTCATGCTTATTATGTGCCAGACATTGTTTTATATGCTTTACATATATATTAGCTTCTGTATTCCTCCAAATAACAATAATTGTTCTCATGTTACACTTGGTGAGGAAACTGAGACACAGAGAGGTTAAAGTAACTTGCCTAGTGTCGTGTAATAAGTGACAGAACCAGGATTCACACTCAAATAATCTGACTCTGAAGCCTTACCTACCAGGATAACCTGGTCAAAGGTTTCACATCTGCTGGCATTTCCTCAGTTCATGACACGTTTTGTGGTTCACCTCCTCTCAGTACTCTTCTTTCTCCAAGGGTACACAGTTCCAGAAAACGAGGAAAGGGACTTGTTCTTCAACCCTTTCTCTTGTTGGGGCCATCTTAGGAGTTGGTCAAACCAATCAGATGTGGGCAGCAATTCTATTAAACGTGTTCCTTTTAGAATATTTATAAACATACACTACTCATAAAATACAGATTTCGACACTATAGTTTTTTTTCCCATAAAAATATTTCTTCTATATACACATTTGATGCACATGTATATTATTTTAATGGCTGTAGGGTATTCAGTTGTTGGCCGACAGCACAATTCACCTAACCCGTCAAATATGTTTGCGTGTGTGCTTATGTATTTATATAAGAAGTCCATGTTCTTAGCAGAAAAGTCAGAAAATACAGCTTAGCAAAAAGAATTCCACTCCTTTGTTCCATTTAATAAATATTACTGAGTGTCCATTTTATATCACACAACCATTACAAATCATACCACACACATACCCACAGGAGAAAGCGAGAGAGGGAGGAGAGATATGTAAGCAGTAATTATCATTTCCGAATGGTGAGATATTAAGGGTGATTTTAATTTTTTTCTGCTTGCCTTTTTTCCCTTATTTTTCTATAATGAGCATATGTTACTTTAATACTTGGAAAAATGTTATTTCAAAAATTAAATATTTCTACATATTATGCTGAGAGCACATGCATTACCATGATTTGAATCCATTAAGAGAGTAAGGCATGGGGGCATACATGGACATTTTATTATTTGAATTACTCAATAATAACGTTCCCAATTATTCCACTGCCAGGAGCATTGTTCAGGATGTGTGTGTGTATGTGTGTGTGTGTTGTGGGGCACTACATAATTATCTATGATAATTAGTATATATTTAACAATAATGGACAATTAACATGGAAATTTGCTTCTTACCACTAGATCTACCTAAGCAAAGAAACAGAAAGAGAGATCCAGGACACATTTTCAAGGAAAAAAACTCCCCAAAGTATAGGTAGAAAATTTAGATATTTTTCTCTGTCCCAGTGTTCCGGCTATCCCATTTAGACGCCTCTTTTCTTTTCTTTTCAATCTTTTATTGTGAAAAATTACAAACATACTAAATATATGTATATTTGAATGCTCAAAAATATGTACAATAAACCCCATGTTCCCACCACCCAGCTTTAATAATTATCAACATTTTTAAGAATTTCTTTTCCAATTGCTTGTCTTGCATTAGTAGGACACAATAATACTTATAAACAGGAAAACTATGTTTGTAGAAAAGTTTTTAAATATTAAATAAAAAAGGAATGGTTTTTAAAAACCTCACTGCATAGAACTGCACTAAATTGTGAGAGGTCCCCAAGTAGTTTCTAAGGCCTGCTGATGCAGTCACCACGTTTCCAGACCAATTTGCCCTTTCCTTTCCAACAGCTAGTTGAATGCATTATTACACTTGGAAAATGGAAGAATTAAAATAAGGAAAGCAGTAAACCAGGAACTGTGAAGCTATAGGACAGAACTGGGGGAAACAGCGAGCACTCACCCAGGCTAAGTATGGCCAAGAAGACAGCCCAGGGACAAGCAGCACCAGGCTGGGTAGGCCACTCTCCTGTACAGAGGTCGCAAAGGAGGGCTAGCGGAGCACTATCAAACTTCACCTGGTTGTACCTACCTAAACTGTTGTCACTGCTCGTGGGCCAGGAGGCAATTCTATCCCTCAGCTGCTTCTTTTTACAGGAGTTGTCTGACTTCTCAGAAAGGCCTACTTCCTCCTTCCTAATTTCTCGGACGAGCTGCATGCGGCATCTTGTAAAATCCTGAAAGGAAATCTTCCCATTTTCATCTGCGCCCAGTTGGTTCATGATCTCAGCCACAGACTCTTCCATATTCAGTTGACGACAAACCATCAACAAGTCATTTCTACGGAAGGGGTTGAACAGAGGAAAACTCGTTAGGAGAGACATTTGCGCTAGATAAAGTGATTAACGAAGAAGAAAGAAAGGAGTATCTCTTGAATATATCTACACATAGTAAACCTATTTCCAATTTTCTCATTGCTTCTAGAAAAGTGTAAGTGTGCAAAAAGATCTGTTTCATCAGGGTTATTCTAGACAAGAACGCTATTATTATTTGGAAGAGTGAGTCTATTTTAAATCCTTTGTTCTCTTTTTTCTTCCTGCCTCCACGCCCTTCCCTCCTTTTCTTTCTTTTGAAATCGATGGAGCACCTGTAGAGTATAGCACTGTAATCTCACCCTAAGATAAAGTTTCAGAACACAGAAAAGCTATTGTTTCTACTCTTGGCAGAGTTTAAAATCTAGTCAAGTTGTTAAAGAGCCATACAGATTTTTAACAAGCTCGGTTTTCAGCTTTCTGGACCAATCAGCTCATTTGAGTACGTCTTTAAAAATGTTATTTAATCTTGACTTTCACGACTCAGTGTTTGTCTACCTCTGGTTATTCAGGATTTTCTTTGACTATTTTCCACCTTCCCATCAGCAATTAGTAAGCCCTAAGACTTAGAGCAGGGATCAAAATCCCAAATGTCTTCCAGGACTAGGACATAACATAAATGTGTGAAGGGGGGATCTAAGACAAAAGGGATTGGTGGAGTCTGTGGCTGGACTAAAGAAGTACATCCGGCCTATAGTTTCTCAAGTTAAAAAAAGAAAAAGAATAAAAAAGGAACAAGAAGAAGAACAACACTATGCTGGCCAAGAACATTTAATTGGAGGACATCATTTGACCCCTGACATATAAGTCTTGTTCTTTTCTCTCGTTCTAAGCTCCTTGGTGAAACATTTTGTTCATATAGTTCTAACTGTACATCTCAATAAAGGTTAAAGGATTACAACACTGAAGCCCTGGGAAAGACATTAGGAACTATTCCATGGTCACAAACAAAGGTAATTAGCGTCCCTGTCTCAACATACCACTAAAGTCCAATCGTCTTGAGAACATGACCAATCTGATGTTTGCTGATACCTGAAACCTAACAGTGAAAATTAAGACCAACACCTCTCTTCCTCTCACCCTTCACAAATTCCTTCTCCTGGTCAATGTTACTGTGATCTCCCCAAGTTCCCCAGGCTCATAGAATTGTAGATATTTTTAATATTTTTTCATTCACTCCATCTTACCCCTAATTTCCCCCACCCTGGTCCCCAGTGTCCAATTTATCATCAAATTTCTGTTGGTCCTGCCCCTGAAATGCTTTTATATTTACTCTTAATTGTGTTTTCCAAATGTACAACACTCTCCAAGACCTTCTCAATTTATTCTCAGCCTATTACACTAACTTGTTTAGCTGGTCACCCTGCTTCCATATGCCATCCATTTTCATGTTTCATAAATAATTTTTACATACAGCTACGTTTTATTTTATCTTGTGTGCATGTGTATGTCTATGTACATATGTATATTATATATATGCCTATGTGTATATATTTATATTTTTTATTTGTAAGGTAGATGTATAGGTGGATGAACAAATAAATATACACATACAAGTGGGCATGGTAGGGGTCGGGCCGTGGCTGAGTGGTTAAGTTCATGTGCTCTGCTTCGGCAGCCCAGGGTTTCGCCAGTGCGGATTCTGGGCGCAGACCTAGCACCACTCATCAGGCCATGCTGAGGCGGCATGCCCTATAGCACAACTAGAAGGACCTACTGGGGGGGCTTTGGTGGGTGGGGGGAGAGGAGGAGGAGCAGGGGGGAGGAGAAGGAGAAGAAGATTGGCAGCAGATGTTCACTCAGGTGCCAATCTTTAAAAAAAACTAAAAACAGAAGTGGGGATGGTAGATTAAATTATTAGTCCTAATTTTTCATTCTCCTATAGTAGTGTTATATATCCTTACCCTTGTCTTGCCCTCAGGATCAAGGACATTCATGGTAAGTGTGTCCTTCCCCATCCCTTAACTTCAGGTTTGACATCTAACTTGCTTTGGCCCCTAGGATGTTAGCAGATATGTGTTTATTTAGTTGGGCTTGTCCTCTTCCGCTTCTGCAATCATTATGAGAAAAACAAACCATCGTAGCTATTAACCCACTAGGCTGGGCCCCATAATGAGCCACTTCAGCGGACCTGTGGACCTGTAGCCTACGAAGAGCCACTCTAGCTGACCTTAAGATGTAAAATTCTTATCGTTTACGACAATGAGATTTTGTGATTGTTCCCCGGCAATATCTAACTGATACACTGAAATAATTTTTAAAAAATGCATTCATATGCTTATCTTTTTTGCCCTTCCCTGAATACAACCTGTCTGATATTCAGCTGGATTCATCCAAGACATTGGGATGATTACAACTGCTAAATCAGGAATACAAACAGAAAGAAAGGGCCATGTTCAGAGTCTACATTCTAAAATAAAATTTTCTTTTTTATATTTTTAGATAATAATCTTAAAAATTAGGCTTGGTGGGAGACAAAGAAGTTTTATAAAATCCAAAAGTTCACACACTAAGATGTTAACACTAATATTTTCTGAATGGTAGGAATATAGTGTTTTCATTTTCTTATTTTTGCCTATTTTTATTGGTAACTTTCTACAATGTACTACACTACTTTTATAAATTGCTATGTCATTTTTTTGGTTTTAAAAACGAGCATAGGGGCCAGCCCCATGGCCGAGTGGCTAAGTTCGCACGCTCCGCTTTGGCGGCCCAATCCAGGACCGGTTCGAATCGTGGGTGCGAACATGGCACCGCTCATCGGGCCATGCTAAGGCAGCATCCCACATGCCCAACTGGAAGGACCCACAACTAAAAATACACAACTATGTACCGGGGGGCTTTGGGGAGAAAAAGGAAAAATGAAATCTTTAAAAAATAAAAATGAGGATAATAATAGCTCCTATCTTATAGAGTTGTTCTGAGGGTAAATGAGATAACTCATGCAAAGCACTTAACATAGTTCCTGGCACATATTAAGGAGTCAATAAATAGTAGCCATTATTATGATTATTTTATAATTATTGATCATAGATCTTTCACAATGCCCAAGTTTCATGGTTAAGACTTTAGTAATTAAGCACAAACTGCTCAGGGGAGAAGACTGCTTACTGAACTGAACTGACCGCCTCCCTAAGTGGAGCAATCTGTCTGCAGAGGCCAGCCCTTCCTCCCCGCCTGTGGCCCACGTATGAACGCTGGGCACCCTCCTGAGAAACCCAGCTCTGCCCAGGCTTGAGCAGTCCCATTCTACAAAAAGCAGCTCAGAGAAAAGATCTGTGTTCTAGAAACGCCAACTCAGAGGAGAATGCGTAATGCTGCATTTTCATTTAAAAGGTCTGAGCCATTGAAAGGCTAATATAAAAGATCAAAAACAACATACATTGCATTCTACTAAATTAGTTCTGATTGTAATCTTTAAATAGAAGTGCTAGTTTCTAAAAATGAAATTAAAGCTAAATTCTTTCAGCATAGAGATATAGAACCAGAATAACAACTAACAAATCTGCAGGAGAAGTGCTATTATCCCCATTTTACAGATTAAGATATGAAGGCTGAGAGAGTCACAGAGCTAATATACAGCAGAGCCAGGAATCGAAATCAAATCAGTGTGATTCCACAGCTCTTACCCTTTCCATTCTACCATTCACCACCTTGGATGTCAATCATATCAAATTTTGACCTGTGAACACACATAAGGATGACACTAATATAAGCAGCTTGATTATCAATGGTCATTAGTTAACAATACTTTCATATTAAACCAGAAAGACTACATAGATCTATATATGTGTTACCCTTCTATGTTAAACATGGATGAAAACAATAAGTTACATTTTGTTATCAACAAGATGAGAAAACAAATTTACAAGAGAGAAAAAAAATTCCAAAAGCTCTCCTTTACATACCAAGAGCTAAGCCTAGAGAACCTGGATCACAAAGGTTTACTATGAGCCATTGTATCAGCTTGTTTAAAATGGCCCTCAGTGAATTACACTCCTCTGTGACCAGGCCTCTTTTGCCATACCTCCCATCAAGGGGTGGAGCCAATTTCCCTGCCCTTGAATCTAGGCTGGCCTTGTGACTTGCTTGATCAATGGAATGTGACAGATTTAACATTCTAGGATTTCTGAGCACAGGCCTTAAGATGCCTTGTAGCTTCCACTTTGAGCTCAAACTTTTCCAACTCCATGCAGTCCTTGTAGCCCACTCAGGCCCACAAGCGGTCTCTTCCTTCTGCCAGCATTTAGCCCCTGCACCATTCATTCAGTGACTATACGTAACTTTGTGACAACTTTTGGATTGTTGTACTAACTTTCATTTCTCTCCTTCTCTTTTTTTTTCTTTTATTATTTTCACACACTCAAGTCTTACCGTTCCAACCTGACCACAAGCTCCTGGAAGCCAGTGTTGACCATGCATCACTCTCTCTTGAGATCTACGCAGCACTCAGCACATCACCGTGTACACAGCAGATCTCCCTCACATCTGTTTGGATGGACTGATTCATAAACTTTCCGAAGTTAAAAATGACTACTCTTTTAAGGGGGTCCCCACTTTATTTGATATTTTCCAACATACACCTCTCTGTATTCTCCCACAGAAGGCAGCATATAGGATGCTCAGTAAGTATGAATGACCAGTGGACACCATAAAAACAACCACCACCCCCTTGTAGCCTTAGTGACAGAGCAGCATGACAGTTTCTCTGCCCTAGGTCAGGAACGTTTCTCAGAGGAAGAGACACTAAGCTACAGTTGTCCAAAACTGAGATGGCAGAGTGGAGAACTATTTCAGTAGCAATAACATCACCACATAAGGCAGCAGCCTTAAAAAAAAAAAAAGAAACAACCAAACTTTTGTATATTATTCCAGAAAATACGTACATTCATTGTAGAAAATGTAGACAAGCAAAAAGAAGAAAATAGAAACTACATGCAATCCCTCTACTCCGCAATAACCACAGGG